ACTGATGGCCACAGCTCAAACATGAGAGGTTGAGCTTTATTAGCTCCACCTTGCGGAAATTCCGGATACTATTATTTTGCTTGTCGTATTATAGGAGAATTTACGGTAACTAGCGGTATTTACCGGTAACTCGCAGTATTAACCGGTAGCTTGCGGTAGACTGCGTACAGCGTACCGGAAAATAATGCGGTATCGCCTGCGCATTTTGAATGGCTGCATCTGTAAGCCTGTGAAGTTGCCTGCTTGGTTGGATGGAAAGATTGCTAGCATGCCTAACATTAATGTCTCTTAGTGCCTTCATGTCTCAATCAGTTGTACAAAGGATTCAATGTATTACCAGCAGATCCACAAGCAGTTCAGAAACCAGAAATGCAATAGTTAGAAAACAGTGTATTCACACACCAGATGTTGTAATGTCACCTTTTCCCCCAGATTGTAAGAACCACCAGACTTGATGGCCCCGATAACCCGCTGGAAATGATTTACTTTGTGGAAGGTCCTAATCAGGAGAGACTGGCTGCTACTACCACCTCCAGCATCCTCAACCAGATTAATGTCCAGAGGGCTGCCATTGTCCTTGGTTACCGGGTGCAAGGGGTCCTAGCTCAACGTGAGTATTTGAAAGGTTTAGCTATTTTAAAGGAATGTATGGGAATTTCAGAAATAGATCCATGAGCTGGAAAGGGATTTTGTCTTTGATTAAGTTGGAAATTTTAATGATACTCCAATGGGTATAGTCCAGTAAACAGTGTATTCACACACCAGATGTTGTAATGTCACCTGTAATGTCTACAGAGCAGTAGGAAATATGTTTTCTTATTATATTGTAGTATTATATTCCTTATTATATTATTCGTGGGTGACATTTTGGAAATATAAATACATGAAATGGTAATTCCATTTGTTCAAACCTCAGAAATCTGAAAATGTTCCTTGTACCTTAAAATGTCCAGCACCAACATGGCATTAACCAAAAAACATAGTAGCAGTAGTTCAGCACTTAGTGTAAAATTGTGGGTAATAACATATCAATAAACAGATTGATAACACCTAATCAGTTGTTAAAAAAGGTACACACTGTTATGTTTGTGCACTGAAGCATAACTGCATGATGTTTTTAGTGAAAGTATATTCTCACTCCACAGCTGTGGAAAAGATCACTGCCCCACCATCTGAAACACAGAATAATAACCTCTGGATCGTTGTGGGTGTAGTGGTCCCTGTTGTTGTCGTCGTCATCATCATCATCATTCTGTATTGGAAACTGTGCCGGACTGACAAGCTGGAGTTTCAGCCTGACACCATGAGCAATGTTCAGCAGAGACAAAAGGTGAGCGGTGTCTGTGAGTTTAGGACTTAATTTATGGGCTTTGTTTCTCTCACTCTTATTTTTCTGTTTCAAAGAACTGTTTGTATTGGATTCATCAACATGTTATGCTGCCCTGTTTAACATGTGAGTATCTACAGTGTATGCACAGTGTATAGTATAAGTCAGAAGATGTCATTATACAGATGCAGCCATTCATAATGCCCGGTAAAACCCCGTACTGTGTGAAATTATCTGCAGAAAAGCATGGAATGCCGCAGTACGTAATTGGCTGGCCAAAATAACCGACAGGCGGCACTCGTGGTGCATTGGTTGTCAGTGAAACAATTGCTTCATTTAATCTCTTTACTGTGCAGGTTTAAATCCGCTTAATATTGAATATTAATATGGAATTACACAACTAATTTGGGTAGCTGAGCATAAAAAGAAGAGGAGCATAACATGTTTTAAGGTCATAAATAAATATTAATTTAGGAATATAAACATTATGTAAGCTGTATATGGCTGGTATTGCCAGTTTTAATAAAAAATACACACCAGTATTTCACTATCTTCATAAACATTTTAAGCATCAAAGTCTTTCATTAGGTCAAATACTGTGGTTATTTTGGAAAAAAAAATACATTATATATACATTTTTATATACTTTATAAAAAGTTATAATGTTTTAACCTTTTCTATGAATACTTTAGCTCATTATCGCAGTAAAGAAATGCACTTTTTAGAATTTGACTAATAGGGAATATAATATGGAATTGTGTATCTAAAGAAATTAATTACGATATAATTATATTCATATAGCTCAAATTATTACCGTAGTCCACTTTCTTTGTAAACATCTGCATCAATTTGACTCATTCACCCGCGATTACTTAGAAACGTTTTGCCTGCCTTGTTCAGTTATAGCTTCAGTTGTCAAGCTGTGTGTTGGTGTAATTGTTTTGGCATGTGATATGCATGCTAAAGGTCTGGGATTCGAACCCAGCTCTCAGTATGAGTTTTCTTTTAACAAAAAGCATTTCTTCAAAAAACTAAAATAGTAAATATTATCGACACTATATTGAATTTGTTGGTATTTCTAAATATCGCAACACATTCAAAGTTAAGTGATTTATTAATAACAACTAATAATTTCAAACTGCTTGTGTTTTACAATTATATTTTGTTGTTTTCACAACCTTCTATTCACTAAACTTCTATTTTTGAGACAGGGTGTTCCAGAGCTCTGTTTAATTTCTGAAACTCCCTCTGTATTCCATGTTTTAACCTTTTCTATGAATACTTGCGCTCGTTATCGCAGTAAAAAACCTTATACTTTTTAGAATCCTTTAAATAGGGAATATAATATGGAATCGCTTATCTAAGGAAATTAATAACGATATTAATTTAAGGATCTAAATATACTGTATGTATTTATATAGCTCGTAGTATTACTGTAATCTGTAATTAGACTCATTCATGCATGATTACTTTCTAAATATCCTTAAGCTGTTCGTCTCAGCTCTGTTTCCAAGCAGTCTGTTGGGACAGGTGGTTTGTCAATAGGGGTTCTGTCTAGGCGAGCCGAGTTCAACACCTGCTCAGGGCACAAGCTTTTCTTCTAACAAAGACTTTTTAAAAAAGAAAATAGTAAATATTATGTACACTATATAAACATTTTTTTATTTTTTATATAACATATTCAATGTTAAGTGATATTAAAAATGAAATTAAAAAGTGAATTTGCAGACTTGACTACTTTCAACAGTTGGAGTAAAAACCAGTTCAACCAGTTTAATTCAATTCAATTCAAAACACTTTAAAATGAAATCGTATATATTGTAATTAGAATCGAGAATAACAAAGCAGTATTAACAATACCACTGAAACTATATTAATGTGTCTGGTTATTATTGACAGTATTAATTTAATAATAATAATTTCAAACTTTTTGTAACATTTTCAAAGTCTTTTTTTTCTTCGGTTTTCATAAGCTTCGCTTTATTAGAACGCCTATTTATTAGACAGGGTGTTTCAGATGTCAGTAACGTTGTGAACAAATGACACAGAGCCTGCAACATACAGGTTTAAAGATCATGATTTGTAAATAAATTCAATTTTTTAAAACAATATCTAGTACCTGGTTGCATTTTTAGAAACCTTAGTTTGAATAAAGCTGATCCCAGGTGCAAGTGACTTCATAACGTATTATACTATATTTTTTATGCATCAGTTGAAGCCTCCTGAAGTCTCTCAAAAACCCAAAAAATGTAACATAATATTGTGTGGCACGATTGGAAACAGATTCTTTTAATTTTAAAGAAAATCAAAAATGCGAAACAATAATGTGTCTGCCTAAAACAGACATTGCATGATAAGATAAGATAAGATCACTTTATTTGCATACAATTTCTTGCATTAGGAATTTGTCTTTTCGCATACCCCAGCTTGCTCTCCATGAGACACACAAGCACACAGACAGAGAGAGAGAAGCATGATTTTAAAACCCATCAAAAACAGGTTTAGTTAAAAACACTAAATCCATGGAAAATGGGTGATTTTTCTTCCTTGTGATCAGCTTAGAATCGTTGTGTAAGCTGTACGTTTTTTTAAACTTTTAAATTAAACATTTTAAACA